GGCCTCGGCCCATCAATCCAGCCTGTATGATGATCTGTCATTGGGCGTTGTAACGATCAGATAAGACAAACATTGTCAGGAGTGATGAGGGTACGGTTGGCTCTGGTCTGAGCAGGAGGATGGATCGTGCGACTGTCCCAGGTCTCTTCCAGCCTATGATTAATATTAGGTAAGTGGAGTTAAGCTAGATAATCTGTGTGCAAATCAAAAAAATGTGAAGATGTTATTTCCGTGTACAAAAAGACTTTTTAGATTTTGACATCACTGATCTTCATTGAATGAGCTATTCTGTAGCTCTGTCTTCTGTGTGACAGTATGTTTTGAAGAAGCAGTGATGCTAAGACTATGCAAGTCATGTGCTCCTTCTTCTGACATTGTGTTGTTTTTTTGATTGTCTGCTACTGTGGCACTTCACAGGTTTTAATTTGACTCTAGAGCTGTGGTTTACTCCAGTAACGTCACAAGGAAAATTTATTCAATCCCAGATTGTGCCTTAACACGTGACTGTGTTGTTCTTTCCCCTTGTCCTCTCATATGTTCTTTGTTTCAGAATTACCTTAGTAACTTGCATTTCGTTTTGAATCTTGTTTCCTGCTTTATTCCCCACCAATTCCCAAGTGAATGCCTTTCCATTTTTAGTATCTGTGTTTTGCTAAAATTAGTGTGAGAAGTGGCAGAGATACCCAGCTCAAAGAGCAGACTTTGGAGTTCGATGTTAATAGAAATAACAATCCACAGCAGGTTATGAAGGAAATGTTGAGCACATTTAAGCTTTAGAAATACACAACAGGCAAGAAGGTGGTGTTTAACAAAGAGGAAGGCAAGGTGAAGGCACCGGTTGGAGTGTTCCTGAGCCACCCAGTACCACACATCTTCCTGCAAATTGGTGCTGGTGATCTGTGTGCTTTGTGGTTCTCTGCCATCGCTTTTCCCATTTCCCCCAACGCTGTAACGTTTTAGTAATGGAAATCATCTTCCCTGCATAATATCCCTGCAGAAGGTGCAAGAGGAGGAAGACTGTAGAACCTAAACTCACAAGACCAGTCCACCCTGAAGGGACAGTAAGGGGATTTGTCAGTAGGGAGTAAAGAAGATACTGATGTGGGACAACATTCCTGCCCTCAAAATCATGCAGTTGTCATACTGGCAAGAAAGAGCTGAGGAAACTCGCCTGTGGCTTCTGGGCCTGTCTGCTCATGGACCAAGCACATTTTCAGGCATGTCACTTAGACATCCTCTTAGAGAGGTGTGTGTCAATTTTAGTCATTACTGGCATTTCATACACAACTACTTCAACTTCAGGAGAATTTAGAAATGTGCCACGCTGTTGGTCGCAGAGAGATACTCCGTTGCATGACTCAGATCATACATATGGGTAATATTGCAGAGTTGCATTTTCCCTGGAAAGGTGGTTAATATCACATACAGGGTGTTTCACTAATGTTCAAGGTGATTTATTAAAGCAGGAAATTAACATGGTTGTATTCTTTTTTTTTTTTAATGACTACTCATGAACTGGATGGTGAAAAATATGGCTGAGACGACTGCAGAAGATAAACAGCCAGCTTGTATTTCACAGATAGCGTTGCTGTTCCGGGAAGCGGGACAGGTGATTTCTAGAAGATGAGGGACAGACCAGCAGCATTAGAAATAAGGTCATTGGAGAGAAATCTGAGTTGATAAAAACTGGGGATATGGAAATCCATACAGGTGAGGAGACGAAGTATCTCAACATTTTTGTTACTTGGGAAAAATACAAGTGGGCATGTGGTGCGTTACAACGTAACCAGAAAGACCGCAGAGGGAAGTGCAGCGCTTACCAAGCTGAGTTCTAGTAGTAGTAGTGCAAGAACAAAAATGAAGCATTTAAAGTGTGGCACACTCTTTAGCATGGAGTGGAAGCGTGAGCACTCAGGATACGGGATGAGAGGGGCTGCGGCAGAGCTTGCTTATCGATGCTTCTGAAAAACTCTGAAAAGTTTGTTGAGTACCTATGTCCCCAATGTAAATAAAAAGAGGAAATTTCACACGCAGTAAGTGTCTACGGGACTGTATCAGGGGCAATCGAGATGGCTCAGTGTTATGATCAGGATGAAGGGCGTATAAATCATGGAACAGACTTAGCATTGGGTATCAACCCAAATAAAAGCAAGAGAGAAGACTTGGACGAGGAACGCCTGCAGAAGGTTGGATGGGAATGGGTGTCTTGGGAGGAAGGTTGTCGCTTGGCACCAGGCAGAAACCAGTGATCATAGCCAAGAGCATTCAGTCTGGTACAGTGGAAGATTTCAAAATCTGTTCTCCAAAGTTTCCCTAACTTTGTTTTTAACCAAATTATTACCAATGCTAGCAGTTCAAGCTGCTGATGATTCATTGCTGCGGGTGTCCTAGAGTTGTAGGTGACAAATACTGGAATTGTAGGTGACCTGCTCTTCACGTTCGTTGCTGGTATTTTACTGCTAGTCTTTAAATCTATTTGATGAATAGTCAAAACTACTGATGCATTTAGTAGACAACGCTTAGCTCAAAAATCATTGAATTTGCCATACATTTGAAGAATGAATAAATAATCAGTAAAATACGAGTTTTGGGAGCATCTGAAAAGGACTGATTAAGATAGGCTTTCATCAACATTATAATTTTCTTTTGTAAGCTTTTTTTAAGGCTTTGTTTATTGGGTGATTTAAATATTTAGTAAATACATTTCTTTTGAAATTAATGAAGAAGTACAAGAGGGAGTTTTATATACCAAAAATGTTAGCTGTGAGACTGTATTATGTCAGTTTGGGATTTTATATGAAATATATGTGGGGGAAATTTTCATACTTTAGCCATTTCTCATTAAAAAGCTTTATCAAAAACAGCTTGATTTGATTTTAACAGGAAACCACTAATTGGCATTTGGTAAAAGTTGTTCCCACACGGGGAGGAGTACCCCTATGAAACTGTTATTTTTCAATTAATTATCACTTTGAGGATTGCTGAGAAACAAGCAAATGTGTTAGACATTTTCCCTGACAACCTAAATATTCCTGTAAAATGCACTTTGGAACTCAGCTTTCTTTTGTCACTTTTGTCTGCTATCTCTTCACGAATGCAGAGCCTGAAGCTCAGCACGGCTAAAAAAGGGATTAATTCCCTCTGTCTCGTACCCGAACCCTCCCCAGTGCCTTCCCTTCTTGATTGCTGTGGACATCGCTGTCCCACTCATGAGACAAGTAGGTAACCTGAGCTTCATCATTGAGTCAGACCTCAAAATATGCAAGATTTGATCTGGGCTTTCACCTTAGTTTTTCTGAAGCAACTGTGATGGCTTCTGTCCTGTCTTTGCAAGGCTGTTTCTTTTATCCGTGCTACAAAGGCCATCCCTGGAAGCAGACCTCCGTGGCTATGGATCCACCATCCTGAATCCTGCGTGCAAAAGCCAGCGCACTGCAGAGGAACCGTGTCTGTTCCATGAGATGTGTGCAAGCGCTGTCGTGAGGTGCCACCTCCCTGTAGGTGTTTGTATTTCACCGCTCAGTATCTCTAGCCATAAGTATAATCAGAAGGAAATGCAGAATTCTCATGAAAATAGGCTAAGATTTCTCGTTAAGTGGGCATGTAATTACTTGAAATAGCATTCTCCAAAAGTAGCTGTGAGTGGTTTGCTGTCACACTGGAACAGCATCTGAAGTAGGGTCCTGTTGAGGGTCAGTTCTGGGTCTGCAATTTTACTAATTACTTGCATAACAAAGTAGAGAGTAAATACGTAAATCTACAGATTTGGAAATTCTCCTCTGTGGCCGGAATCAGAATTCAAAAGCATCTTCAGTTCTAGTGTCTGAAACCAACACGATGTCCAGAGGGTTATGCTGACAGTGCAAGTTGGGGTGTGCAAGAATGAAATACCTGAGAGCAGCTGTTTAGAGACTGCAGTGAAGTAAGAAGCATGGTTGCATGATGATTGTAGGTTAAATTTAGAGTCAGCAAGGTAAAATTGTTGCAAAAATAGGCAAGCCTCGTTCGAGAGTAAGGCATTATTCTGTTCTTGTCAGAGCTGGCAAGTGTGGGCCTGATGGTTGTGTCTGGTTTTCAGCACTGCTGGTCAGGGTGGTGGGGATAGGGCAACCTTATGAAGTTGTCACCTACGTTCCTCTGCTGGTTGGTAGGGTTAGTGGTACCGGTGTCCTTCCTGACAGACACGTCTCTCATCTCTTCTTGAAGATCTCCAGTGTGGAAGTCTCTGCTGTGTCCCTTGATAACCTATTCCAGTTTTTCACAGACTTTTACATTTAGAAGTTTGCCTTAACACCTAACTGAATCTTCCTTCCTGAAATTTCATATCGTGGCCTGAAGAAAGGTGTATACAGACTAGAGACCGCCCAAGGAAGAACAAGTATAATAAGAAGCTTAGAAAAAAACATAAATCTGTAAGGAAGAGTTGAAGAAACTCAATTTATTTTAGTGTAGAAGAGAGAAACATATTAAGAAGGCCATGATACCAGTCTTTCAATACAAAAAGTGGTGTAAAAGAGGGGAAAGAATTATAAGTTGTTCTTTATGGCCACTGGGGGAATGATGAAGGGAAATCAACTCTACTGCAGAAAAAGTGATGTGACATTGGAGATGTTGGGGGAAAACTGAGTGGGTTAGATGTTGGAGGAAGATGGGGGATATTGCGGAATTCCCTTTATTGGACGTTAGTAACATACTGGGTTGGGCAAAGTATAGTTGATCCTGCTCAAAGCAAAAGGATAAACTGCTTCACATGTATTGTTTCTGTGCTTTACAGTGCTGTTGTGGAGCAGCATTGCACTGCATTGTATATTAGGATCTGTTCCAAACAAAACAAAATGCAAACACCTCTGAAATTGTCGTATAAGTAAACAAAGCAATAAGCAGGAAATATTTACCTAGTTACAGTCAGTTTTATTAGTAGTTTAAAACCAACTAGGATAAAGACCAAAATATGTTTAAATGAACACAATGAAAATAGTGTACAATTATGTAGATTAAAATGTGAATTAGAAGCTCTTTCCTTCGTCTGTGCTGTACCTCCCTTTTTGGTATACTGATTGTGAACCAAGAACAAGAATTACATTTATGGATGTACCTGGATCTTTGCAGGGTCTGACCGAAGGCAAATAAAATGTGACATACCCATAGATCAGACTTCACGCACGTTTATTCCTTGTCTTTAAGCTGTCCAATCCTGTCAGATTAAAGTGTTACTTATTAATTAGTAAGCAGTTGTGAATGATGTTGGCAATGCCAAACTATGTTATTATTTCAGTTATGCCTACCATTTCATTCTGCTGAATTCAGTCATTGGCTTTGAGCTTATTCTCCAGTAAAAGCTTGCTTCTGCTGGTGGAGGATAAGAAACTAGGAAATTTTCATTGCTTTGTTAATTAAACTATACTGATTCCTCAGGCTCACGGCAAGTGATACCATTTTCTATCGCTTTCTATCTCCTCTGGGTCACAGTTGTCAGAAACTGATTTTAAAATTTATTTTGCTCTGTGAAGGTGGGACCTTTCTTTTCTTCCTCACCAGCAGTAGTCTTCCTTTCTTTGTATATTCAGACAAACTACTTGGTCACTTCAGCATATCCCAAATGCCACTGCAGAAATCACCTTTGAAAGGCCACTGCTTTGCAAGAGCAAAGTCTTTTTGGTAGCGTGTCTTACAGGATAAAGTAATCTTTTCTGTTCTCCTTTTAAGTCCCTGTACAACTTGTCCCCTGCTGCAGTAGCTGCTTTTCATTTGCTTCCTCCCCTTGGTCTGTCCAGTCAAACCAGTGACTCATGCACTTGTCCGTGTGTCTCCCAGATTTGTACCTGGCCCTACCTCTTACACATGGGACAACGCTCGGGGGCACATTTAGAGGTTCTTCATCTACCGCAGCTCTACCTGAAAAGCAGTGGTTTGCTTCCCAAAGTGGGTAGTTGGTTTATGGAAGCTTTAGGGTCCTGGCTTGGTTGCTCCCTTCGTTGTTTCCTGAAGAATAAAGCGACAAAGAATGAAGTGCCTGAATGCACTTTGTAGAACAAATGGGATGCTGCTGTAAGATCTTGTTTGCATTACTGCTTTTCACTTTATTCCATGTATTTGCGTGCATATGCGTGTGTGTGTATATATATATAAAAAATGTCTGTATTATTATCTAGAAATTTCTCAGCAAAATCTCATATCCATTGTGCTAGACACTTAAGTGAAGAAATGTCTGTACCAAGATAGCTCAAAATTTTCATATATGTCAAGATACAACAGATTTGGGGGAAGGGAAACATTATTTGTGGTAGCAGTAAAATAGCTAATGAGAACAGATGTCAGCTCACTGAAGTAAGTGAGGCAAAGGCACCAGGCAAACATGATGAAAAGATTCAGAGGAGGAAAAAGTGGCATTTTGATGGAGCATTTGTCTATACAAAGGTGGAAGCAAGCGACAAAGTGTGTATGCTTGGTGAGGGCTCAGAGGAGAGTCTACCAAAAACTGTTAGAGCTGCCTCAAGGGAAGAATTGGCAGCTTGATCCTTTGGAGTCTTTTACATGTATTTGCTCAAATTGCTGCTTTCTCTTCTTCTCCTTTACCCCTTCTTTAAACCTCCATTGCTTTCTGTGTTCTGAGCTGTGTCCATTTTGGTTTCCCCTTTCCTTCCGCTTATGTTCTTCGCTTACACGAGCGGTATCATATGTTCTTATCGTGTGCTTTTGATATCACTTACCGATTCAAATATGTTCTGCAACATGGATAGAATAAAGATCTGTTGGGTCAGGATCAGTTTGGTCCTGGCTTTGGCACAGCTTTACATGTGTGATAAATAAAGCTATACTGTATCATGTCTTTAGCTATGCAAATAATGTTTTTTTGATAGGCAGCAAGGCAAGCTCTGAATATCATCTTTTTAAAACAAAATCTGATTCCAGGGGATTATCACTGCAAGTCTTGTAATTCACTCGACGTAGAACTATGGATAATTTTCTAAACTTCAGATTTCGCTTTAGAGCATGAATTTGCAGAGCATTTTAGACTGTTCATTTGCTAAATTTGAACACTGATACAATTCTGCAAACAAGATACTACTCTGCTATAAAACTGCTGAGTTAAATCGTAATATTTATGGGTTCTTTTATCTTCTGTTGATAGCATTTTGTTCTTTGGCATTTTTGGATCCCATTTTTTTAACGATAATGCTCATGAAAATTAACTATTTTTCATAGGCTCAAAATTAATATCAGATGTGTGGCTGTGTGGAGTCCATAACTTAATTTGTATATATTCCCTGGGGACAAAGGGAGTCTAGATTAGCTCCCTCTAGACCCAACTTGTATAGCATGTGTAAGTTTACTATGGTATTTTTAAAAAGAGCACATAGTAGCTTACCTGTCTTGTAACTACCTAAACCCTTAAACTTAACCTTTAAAAATTGGATTTGTAGCTGATGTTGACATTAATTTGTATTCAGAAAACAATTTACAATAGGGTCACATCCAGTTAATGTTCTGTTATTTGATCTAGAGTAGCATTCACTGTTGCAGATGACCAGAAGTCCTATTCAGTGTTTTACAGATGGCACGAATGCTCTCGATCCTGAAATCTCAGGCCTCCCTGTTTCGGCTCTGTGACAGGAGTCTTACAGATGAAGGGTCAATACTAAGGAACCAGTTGTCCAAATCTGAATTCACCCCAGTCTCCTGCCAAGAGCTGTTTTCAAATGATTAAGTCCCGTCTTTTTGCTAGATCATAAGACTGAGGCTGTAGTAAGGGGGGAAAGGTATTAATGAGCCTTACAGGCGTAACAGTGCTCAAGACGGTGTTAAACTGATTTTAATATGGCATCTCAGCCTTCCTCAGTGCCTCCGCAGCGATGCCATCGTCCCTTTCTAGGCAGGTGGGACTGGCTTTGAGGGTGATAAGCAAGCTGGTGTTTGCAGGCTGCTCTCGTTGAGGTCTTCCAAGCACGTGGAACAACGTGTGGTTTTGCAGAATGTGCAGGGGTTTTTTTGAACATGTTGGACACGGGCCTACTCATATTAAATCCAGGTAAAACTTTGCCCGTTGCTTCCAGAGGAACAGGGACTGCTATTTGTGATCAGACTTGTAGCTTATTTATTCTTCTGTTATACTGTAATTTACTGTTAGAGCTACCGAGGAGGTCTGTTGGACATGCCTTTTTAAAGTCCAACTTTATGTGACTTTTCAGATGCTTCACCTAATTTTTCATTATTTTTATTGCAATGTACAAGACCTTTTAAAATACTTACTCAACAAAAGTTGTGTCAGATATTTGAGGTGTTAACCTCAGGTATATCTGCAGCGTGTCTTTCACTATCATTTGTTTTTCTTCAACTATTACTCTATCTCAGATGATTTAAAAATACAAGGATTATAATATGATATCCTGGCTGCAATAACGCTGAACAGGAGGGGCAAGAAGTCCTGCAATTAGAAATAATATGCAGTCACTGGCTGTGCAGCCGTTTGGAAGAAAGTCTTGCCCTAACCCCGAAAAGGCTTCAGACTTCAGCTTTGCCACGTGAAATGCCCCACGCGTGCCCCATCCCCTGGTCTGCAGGGAGAGCCTGTGACTTTCCACGCGGCAGTCCTGGTGAGCACGGCTTTTACCCACCGATTCAGAGGTGGTTTTGTGGGTTTTATAGTTGGTATTGCAGTTAGAGAGCAAATGTGAAAAACAGCTTCAAAAGACCGACTCGGAGTATGTACTGCTCGGAGTTTGTATTTAATCTTTAGTTGTTGGTTTCTGTGGGAGTTACCAAACCAGTTGAGCTACAGCACTGGCATGAAGCCAAATGAAAAATACAGTTTTCTTCACTGTAAACATGACTGTCAAGCAGTAATGTTTTTCTCAGCTTCATTTTAAAGGCATTATAATGGAAGAAAATGAAACTAAAACACGTTTTTATGCCAGTATTATACATGGAAGAATGTTAATTTCTTTTTTCTTTTAATAAAAAACTCTTAAGAGAATAGAACATACAAGATTATGTCTTAATAAATATGTAATCAGTTATCTGTGTTGCTAGATACTTGATGGACTTGGTAAACCAATACATTTCTTATTCTGGTGTAGTTATGGTAAGAATGCTTTTTTTTTTTCCCTCTGCAAACATGAAAGATATGTAAAGTTCTTTATTTTTAGTCCTGTTTTGATAACAGGAAAAAAACAGTGCCTGATAAAACTTAATGAATACTAACAGCAAACACTAATCTCTGTCCACTCCTTCAGGCTTATTTTTAAACTCTCTTTTCAGTGGCCACTAGCCTGTTAATTCATCATCAGGTATTCTGCCGAACTTGGCCATCCTTGCTTTGCTTTTGGGATTGATTTTGTTGAAAAATGTGTAAGTTCAGCTTTGCCTTTCTAAGATCAATGCAAACTGTATTTAATGCTCGCAGTGATTTCACCAGGACGTCGTCATGTAGGTGCTACTGCACCAAGTGGGGAACAGCAGCATTTTCACTTACTTCTCAGAATTAAATTTGTCAGAGTTGTCTGCTTTGCCTGTAACTCCCTCCGTTTTATTTTGCAGAATGAGGAAAAAGCTTATTTAACAAAATGTCTGATCAGCTGCTGCTTTGTAAAATGGCTTTTTGGGTACCAGGAATGGAAATTGCATCTTTAAGAATGGATGTCAGCATCCATGTAACTTGATGCACCGGAGGATGAAAAATCCTTCAGTTGTCCTTCATTGTTTGAATAAACTTTTTTAGGAGTTTCATAATAGAAAAGTAAGAAATAGGATTGGAAGTGACTTTTATAAGGGTCTTCTCGTCTGACCTGTCTCTTGGGACAGAATCAGCTGCGGTGAAACCTTTCCTGACAGATACTTGTCTCGCCTCTTCCTTATAACCTCAAATGACAGCGATTCCTCTGTTTCCCTATGTAATCTGTGCTAATGCTTCAAGTAATTAGGAAGTTTTTGTTAACTATATGTGGGTAGTTGAACAACACAATTTTAAACTAGATTTTATTAGGACCGTCACATTTTTGTTTGCATATCTAATCCTTTTATTAAAAAATTCAACCCGCCTCACTTGGTCTGGATGTTTGCAGGCATAGAGAAATTAAGAAATTGTTGACAGCATACATACATGCTGTAGGTGAATTAATGAAATGTTGTCCAGCTCTCTGAAGGAAAAGTGGTGAAAATTACACAAAGATCTCTGAAGTTCTCTGTAAATCTCCTGAGCGATGTTGATGCTGAAATCACCCAGGAAGATCCTTCTTTCATTGTGCGATGCAAACGGCACGAAACTGATGTTCAGATTTTGCACTTACTGCTCAGTGCAATACGTGCTGCATTAGTAATGACTTGTATTCGGGTTTTGAAGATGATAGTCAAGGAGCGGCTGTTTGACTGGGCACCTTCAAGCTCTTGTGTATGAGTGGTAACGTTGCTGTTTTCTACAGCAATGTCCCATGTTTATCCTAACAAACCAGCTTTTCTTTTGGATCTTGGGATGAGCCAGCTCCTCAGAGTTCAAGGTACTGTCCCAGCAAGGAAGCGTGGAAAACAACAGGCTATTGTTGCACTTGGGCGTGCATTGTCCTGGACCCTGGGCGTCTGTATCCTGCCTCGCAGGCGCTGCGAGCTCGGTAGCAGCCGCTGGCTCTGGGCAGGCAGCCCCAGTTTCAAGGAAACGGTAAAGCACTAATGGCTGCTGTCGCCAGCAATGGTCTCGGGGCAACAGCAGCTCTGCTGTTGAGGAGGGTTTTCTTAAAACGTGGGTTTTAAGGAGTTCATAGAAGAGTAATGAGGTAGTTCTGTGGATCTTTGTGGGGAGTTTTCTGCACTGTAGTAAGAGGAGTAGGAAGAAGCACATAAAGCAAGCTTTGAAGACTTCCCAGGAGGCAGTGGCATGGCGTGCTGAGCTGGAGTGGAAGTGAACGTTTCGACAATGGAGAAGAGAGGAGGGGTTGAGATGGAGGTTGGCCAGAAAGGATCCTGAAACTGCAGAAGCAGCACTATATTTAAGGAAAGATAGGGAGGGGAGTTGATGACGGGGAAAAAACTCGAGGAGATAGACTTGGGACAGGGCAGTGGACTAAGAAGGGTGTTTGCAGTAGTAATCTAAGTAGGGAGATAGACCTGTATTTACTGATGCCGGTAAAAGGGATGTTGCAATAATCAAGAGACAGGAAAATAAAAGTCCAGACAAGGGTTTTAGCTGCGTGCAGATAGGTAAGAAAGACTACATTTGAGAGAAGTTACTCTGAAAGAGCTGCGAAAGTTTAAATTTAGTTCCTTATTTATTGATTTTAAAGATTATTTTAGTTAGCTTTTTCGTGAAAAGGGAGACGATGGTTTGTGGGTTTTGTGTGTGTTTTTTTGACTTAATTGTCTTGCTTTTTATTTCTGATTCTTTCCTCACCCTACAAGGTCATTTTGCTGGGGTGGGAGCAGGGCTTTCTGCCTGCTTATGTATCTGTGCTTCACATGGCAAAGTTGGGAAGGCAACCCGCAGAGAATGGCTGGCATCTCTGCAAAGAGTGGAAGCACACTAGCATTGCTGTCTTCTAAGAATACTTCGAAAAGAAAAGTAGGGAGGGTAGCATTAAAGAAAAAAAGAAAAGGAAAAAAAAAAAGGAAGGCAAAGCATTAGAGAAATGTTGATAGCAGTGAGAAAGGTGTTACATGAGGCTCAGTGTTTTTTCTTTAACTGGGTAAATATTTTTAGCATTATTTCAGAACTACTCAAGAGAAGGGAACGAAGCTCTTATGGAAGAGCTTATGGAAGTATTAAAGCAGCAAAAGCAAAGGGATTTGACTAGCTTAGGCTGTTCAAAATGGTGGGTACTTGGACTCAAAAGCTTAGGAGGGCTCCGAGTCTGCTAATTTTAGGCATTGCGAGGGGGATTTCTTTTGATGACCAAATGCAATGGAGAACATGAATTGCAGAATTGTATGTGATAAGTGATTCATTTAAGCTACAAGACAAGTAAACTTCTGAAATGTTTAATCGGCACTGACCACAGTAACTAGGATGTTTTATGCATGTCTGTATGGAGATAGATACTGGACATCCTGTCACTTATAAAAACGTCCAGTAAAGCAATGAAAATGAGCTTACATGTGTCCTTTGGTCCTTTTTCCAGTGTCATGATGCAGCGGGTGGTGAGGTGTTTCTTAAGGCTGTGCACCTGTTTCACTTGAGAACTTTGAGATGATACTTTTGCTTCCATTTTCTATAAAGCCAGGGTTACGCCGGCTTTCTGTACTGACTTGGTTCTTGTGCTGCTCATCTTCACAGCCCGCAAGTCCAAAAAGTTGGGGAAATTGAAAGGGATGCACGAGGAGCAGCCGCAGCAGCGGCAGGAGCCCCGAGGAAGGGACGACGTACATCGCGCCCGTGACTGAGCCCTCTGTAAACACAGCACTTGTCCCCCACATGTCTGCTATCTCACCAGCACTTACTCCCTCTCCTGTTAAGATCCTTGAAAGCATTGAACCGGAGATCGTGTATGCAGGGTATGACAGTTCGAAGCCAGACACAGCGGAGTACCTGCTTTCCACTTTAAACCGCCTGGCGGGCAAGCAGATGATTCAGGTGGTGAAGTGGGCAAAGATACTTCCAGGTAGGACCACGAGGCATTTGGTGAACGGTGTTTCTTTTAGCTTAATGAACTCTTTGCTTGACAAATTGCATCTTTAATCTGTGGGCTGTGTTGAAAATCCTCGCAGGGGGGTGTGAGATGAACATCTGAGAGAAGATTGTTGGTTTTTTTGATTTATGTAATGTTTGTTTCATATGTCTGTGGTCGGTATTTAAAAAGCTTTCATTTTGAATAATAGCCTCCTAAGAAGAAACCGTATTTTATCACTGGAATGAAAAATTAAGGTGGGTTTTTTTTTTTTCTTCAGAAGTATACTTTGTGGGAGTGTTGATCTTGTTCGTTAATACTAGAAAAATAATGAGCAATGTATTCAGGGCTGGTTTGGCCAACCCTTGTAGAGCGCAATGTAGTTCACGAGTATTTTCTGGTTTGATCTCTAGGATTTAGAAACTTGCCTCTCGAGGACCAAATTACTTTAATTCAGTATTCATGGATGTGTCTGTCATCGTTTGCCTTGAGTTGGAGATCGTACAAACATACAAACAGCCAGTTCCTCTATTTTGCACCAGACCTGATCTTCGATGAGTAAGTATTCCTTAATGGTCCTTTTCAGTGCAAGCTGGAAGGATTACTCTGTCTTTCTTTGGTTTTCAGGCATACCTGCAGTCTAAGAAAACTTCAACTAACTCTGGCTTAAAAAGTAGCTTAATTTGGGTTTTTTTTTTTCAGTGAGTCAGTTTTCAATTGGCGAAGCTTTGATACTGCCATCCGCTTCTCCTTATGTATGTGGATGTGTTCATAAACTAGAACCATCCTGCTGGCTTGAAATATGACTGATACACAACCAAAATTTATAGAAAAAAACATTTTTTGGTATCTACTGGAGCTTGGAAAAATATCTAACTTCTAGGAAATGTGAATGTTTAAATTGCCAGGTTTTTTCAGAGCAGTCATATAATGGTGCTTTTGTTAACAATATACAGCTGTTCGATGTGTTTTCTTGACAGTCTTAATTACCGTTCTTTGCAACCATGAAAGAAGCCAAAATGTTTTTTCAGTAATGAAACATAACTTCTTTTATGATGCATTCAGACAAAAAAAAGGATCAACCAAGGAACCATTCCTTCGGAGTATGTGTGTTCCTTCATATTTTAAGTTTGTGTTTTAGTGCTTTGCTTTTGATGAGTATAATTTAATTTCTGTTCCATTCGCTTAGTGTTTATTCCAAGACAGTAAAGTCAAAATTTAAGCGAATACACAGGCAGTCAAACTGGGGTCACATCATATGCTTATCTCAGAAGGTTTGTTTTTTTCTAGAGGTAAAAATGAGACAAAATCAATAGGATATGGCTGCTGTTGAAGAAAAAAAAAAAAAAAAACAGGAAAAGAATGAACAAAAAAATAACTTACTCCTCAATCTCCTGAAGCGTTCTGAAATGTTTTTCTTGGGGAAGATGCTTTGTCGCTGTCCATCTTAATAGTCTTTCTTTGATTTAGGAGTTCCTAAATAATTAATGTGTATGAGATTGGTCCCAAAGCAGTGAGCAATATCAAAGGACGATCGTTTGGTTTGTTGGGGTTTTTTGTTGTTTTTTGTTTTTTAAGGGGAGGAACTGGTGATTCTCTGCATGTGGTTGAAAATGTAGTGTCAGCCATTTTCCTTGTTGAAAGCACCTCCGCTGTGACGGACATTAGAGAATCATCACAGGAAAAGTATCCGTAGCTAAAGCTAAGTGAAAATGTGAACTTCGAAGAGTTTAGTTCTCCTGGGGAAATGTAGACTAAAAGTTCAAACACAGAAGCAGTTTTCCCTCATCTGAGGAAAGTCAGTGGGGGGGGTCAAGATTTATTGGACAGGGAAATCAATCCCACTTGCAAATAAAAGTGCATGTGCACTGCTAGCATTCTTGATACTGCATCTTCACTGATGCTGCATCTTCCAGAAGTCGAGATCAGTTGTGAGTTTTGTGCTGCAAGCCTTGAAGGTAGGTCCCTGCAGAATTATACTGAGGTTGAGGTTGGGATCCAGTCAGGAAAAGGAGTGCAATGTCATGGAGCGCAAAATAAAAACATCCAAAACCAGATATGTATGTAAGATAGTGGTCAGGTCTTCTACATATTGAACAATGTACTCATTGCAGAGCTACCAAAGGTAGCAGAAGGCAGTTGTTTCTAAAGAGAAGAAAAAAGTATTACCAGGAGCTGTGTTGAGCTGTGAGATGTGGGACAGGGCTTTTGAAGTAGCTAATCAGGGCAAGAAATTTCCTTGGAGGTAAAAGGGTAGGAGTTCAGTGCTTACTCCAGAATGGTGATGGACACATCTCTGGAACGAGAGGGTTTTTCTCACGTCGCTCATGTTTCATACTTGGTGGGAATCGTGGGAGACATTTGTTCCAAGTTTCTCACGTTGTCGCTCAGGGTGGTAGTTGTGAGACTGCATTTGGAGTCTGAGTTTTGAGCTCCCCGGCACAGGAGAGTTGTTGAGAAACTGCAGAGAGCCCCGTAGAGGTTGGCCAAGGTGGTCGGGCGCTGGCTGGGACAGCGAGGGAGCTGGGCTCGTGCAGCCAGGAGAAGACTGTGCTGGGTGCAGTGGGGATTTAATTGCAGCCTTCAGCATCCTGATGAGTGGTTGTAGAAAAGATGGAGTCAGACTCTTCATGGGGGTGCCCAGTGGAAGGATGAGAGCCTGCGATCGCAAGTCTAGGACAACAAACTGCCTCCTGGGCAGCAGGAGAAGAAATTTCATAAGGAGATGGTGAAATAGCAGAGCAGGTGCCCAGAGAGACCCTGGAGTCTCTGTCTTTGAAGATGTCCAAGCCCTGACTGGGCAAAGCTGTGAGCAGCCTGCTCCAGCTTTGACATTAGCCCTGCAGCAAGCAGCGGGGTTGGATCTGAGACCTCCAGAGGTCCCTCCCAGTGAAATTATTTTGTTATTCCAAGTTCAAGAGATGCAGTGTTTTTCCCAATTTTGACGTAAGGTCAGAGGTGAATTACTGGAATTGTACAAGTCAGCCGATACAGTTCAGTGTAGAAAGCATTCAGATAAGCACAAAACATAATATATATTCCTGTTTGTGAAAATACACTGCTTCAGAGCTTTGCTCTGGAATTGCTGAAGGCTGGTGTTACCTTTACTTTTTGAGTACGATGAACTTGGAAGTGTGGTGGGTAGTTATAAATACAGGCCTTCATTTCTGTGCCACGAGGTTTATCAGACCTCCCTAAGGTTCACTTGGTGCAACTTTTTGAGTGTTTTACTGCTCTTGGCATTTTAGGACATGTATTAGTTGATGCAGAATGAAAGACAAATGCTTTAAAATGAATTTTCCTTCTGCTGGCTTGAGAGAGTTATGTTCCTGTTATCACCTGGCCAAGATTTTCTTGGTATTTCTTCATATTGTGTCTGGAGAGGTCATTTCCTCTCTCTATGCAAGAAGTAATTTGGAAGGTCCCTGGCCAGTAGCATGCACTCGGTGCCCCAGAGGGTTCAGCATTTTCTTCAATGAACAGTTAAAAAAGTGAAAGTAGAGGTTGGCATTAGCAGAATTATGTTGCTTTGTTTTACATTAAATGAATTTTCCGTTTACTCTTAACTGCTGTGAATAAAAGGAAGTCGTAATGTTTCTGGAAGGCCATGATATATGATCTTGTTTTCTTTCTTATTCTGAAGGCCCGTAAACAAGGCGAAAAACAAATGAGGATCTCTGTTGTTAATAGCTGTTAAATGTACCTTTGATTATATAAATGCAGTGCAAAATGCCTCCCTACTAATACGTGGTTTGATTTCCTGTTAGGCTTATGGAAGGCTGGAAATATTTGTCTACCTTCATTTAGTCATGTTACATATCTAATTAAGAATACTGTTTGTCTTTACGGATCATGCGTATATTCCGTTGCTTTAATTAGGTAAGTAAACGCAAAGAACTGAGGGATAAGAAAATGGCCACTCAGCCTGTTACAGAAATGCCTAAAAACAGCCTGAAAAGAGGCATAAAATAGACCAGTGTATTTTATGTTGTGTGTGTAAGCTACAGTATGTGGGGTTTTTTAATCCATTTCTTTTGTAGCATAGTAGTTGTAATGAAAACTAATATTCTATATATATAGCTTTAGTTTAATCCACAGTAAATCTTTAAAAGACCGTCATATATGTGACACCATATAATTCCTATTGCAGGTAAACACTCTTAAAGGATGGCTGTTGCATATGTAATAACACTCAAAAGATGTTGCAATAATGTTCTTAACGCTGCGAGTCAAATCCGAGAAGTTGCAAAATTCCAAAATTAAGGTGGTCTGTGAAATCGTGGTTTGAGCCCTTTGGGTACGTGCTTTGAAGACGGTATCCATAACCAAACCTTTAGGTTATGTTATCCTGTAATATTTTTCCCGTGTGACTCCTTCCTTTTTGTATTGATCAGGTTGGATGAGTTGTAGGGATGATACAGGATTATGTAGTGAGAGACTTGGATTTTTGCTTCGTTGCCTTACCTTGAATGGATCTAGAGATTTGGGAGAACAGAGAGATATTAATGGGGAAGACTTTCTTAAGACATGGCAAAAGACTATCCCTGATTCAAGACCTAAGCTCTGAGACATTTCAGGTTCTACTGCAAAGTAACAGAAATCCCACAGAAAAAAATGACTGGTGTTTATTTAACTCGAGGGAGGGAGAAAATTTCTCTTAAGACTTAACGAAAGACTTCAGCTGAAATTTTCTAATCTAATTCAACCTGAGGCAAGCATATGCATGGACAATTTAAGTCCAGAGCATTAAATTGGTAAAATTATACACAATTGAAAGCAGGAAACTGAGTGGTGCTGCTTGGAATGGGTACAAGAACAAAGCAAGGGATGTAGCAAAATACAATGTTTTTTAACGCTAGCTTATTTTCAGGGATTCTGTCTGAAGCTATGCAAAATGAATTGTTTGCTGCATGGAACAGCCTAAAACATGATTTGTAAGACGTGGTCCTGGAAGGTAGTGAAGTTAGTTTCAAATTCCCTTGGTGTCTCCCTTACTGGATGAATTAATCATTGAACTAATAGCTAAAAGGACTCTTTCTCTGGCTGTGTCCTTTCGAAGGAAGAATCCCCAACGTTTTTGGAAAGAGATGGCGTGACAGTTTAGGTCCTAGAAGAAATCTGATGATCTGAATCTTTCAGTAGTAGGAGTTCATGTGTTTCCAGTGCAGAAGTCAGATGCCTAAATCCAAGAGGAAGGCAAGGGATGCTCCTACTTGCTCACATTTCTGTGATGGGCTCAGGCAGTTGCTGTCCTGCTGGTTAGTGGTGGCAACTTCCCGGGTATCTGCTTCCACCCATACATTAAGTCAGGGCATCAGCTGGCAACCTTTCAGAGGCTCAGGAAGGGATAAAAAGCATTGATGAGTGCAGCACTGCCAACAGAAACCCAGCAGGAGCCAAGATGTGGCGTGGCGGGGATCCTTGCTCCCCCAACGTGGGAAGCCAGTGGGAGCGGTGGGACGTGGGCTGCCTTCGGGGCCACGGCTTCTGCTCCCAGCACATATCCCCCTCCCAGCGGGAGGCCAGAAACTGCACCCCTCATGGCAAGCTGCCCTGCT